TGATGATAGTTGGTGTCCTTGGTAATTGATCAAAGAGAGGGGCTACCTTCTTGCATAGTAGTGGTTGATTTTCTGATACATAGGCTTGATAATTGACAATGCCTAATGATAAGGTAGCTGTGGAGTAGATTTTCCTGTTGATGGCATCAAATTTGTGTCTATGGGGGAGGAATGAGATGTTTCAACATAGATTCCAAGGTTTCTACTAGAACAGACTTATGTAGATACTGGGTGTTTGAATTGGAAGGAACAGCTTTCCTTTTGGGCCCTGTAAAAATTCTCTGTCTTCCAAGAAGTTGGTGGCATGGAGGAGGGTTTTGTCCACAATTGTTTTATTGTGTGGAATAGGTTTGGTAGCATCAGGATTGTGGCTGGTGGTGCTGTTTCATCTTTTCCCCTGTTGAGCACCGGGCTGGAGATGGAGACTGATGGCTGTTTGGTTTCTAGGCCAAGTGATTTGGCCGTCCTCATAACCGGTTCTGTGCATGGTGTGAGGTTGTTGGATGGGGATGGAGTGGTTTGGTTGCAGGCACGTGTCTGGGGAAGGTGTTGATGGTGAAACAGAGAAGGGAGGAGAAGAATAAGAAAGTAGCCCTCTTCTGCTGGTGACAGGTAATTAATGGGCACTAGGTTGTCCGAAGGCTGGGAAGACTGTGTAAACTGAATGGCCAGTGAGGACTGCATTGTGGGCGCCTGCTGTAGAAGGTTTCTACGGGTAGTTTTAAGGGGAAAGTTATCCGGAAGAGATGGCTGTAAGTCGTGCAGTGATTATCTGTAGTTTTCTGTAACGCGCTCTATGTGGGGCTACCCTTGAAGATAGTCCGGATACTTCAGTTGGTGCAGAATAGAGCTACCATGTTCCTGACGGTGACTGGGCGTTGTTCTCATATAACCCCAGTTCTCCGTCAGCTCCACTGGCTTCCGATTGAAGTCTGGGCCCAATTCAAGGTGTTGGTTATGACCTATAAAGCCCTAAGTGGCTTGGGACCTGGTTATGCAAAGGAACGCTTGCGCCCATATATGCCCTCCCGCCCCTTGAGATCAGCAACGGATGCCCTTCTCCGGGAACCCTCTGTGAATGATATTAGGAGGGCGAGTACCCGGAGGAGGGCTTTCTCTGCGGTGGCTCCCCATCTATGGAATGCGCTCCCCAGAGAGGTCTGCCTGGTGCCGTCGTTATTTGTTTTTCGGTGCCAGGCTAAGACCTTTTTTTTAAAACTTATTTTAATTGCTAAATTATTGAATTAATTAGGATTTTAAAATTAGCCGAGAATGCACTGGGGGTTTTTAAATGTTTTTTTCTTTTAAATTATTATATTATTATTATTTATGTATGTTTTTATGTATTTTTTGTGAGCTGCCCCGAGGCTTTGTTGCGATGGGGGCAGCATAGAAATGTTTTAAATAAATAAATAAATATCTTCCTTTCAGGCATACAGCTGTAGGCCCCAAGACTTCAGTGGGAGATGAATATAGAACTTTCTCAATCACAGGGATAAAAATGGTGAAGGATATTGTTGCTATTAGTTGTTTATCCCCCACCAGCATTTCATACTGTGTAAAGAAAAGGTTTGCACATCACTAAACCAAAATAAGATGGTCCAGTAGGAATTAGCATCTTAAAAGTGCACTCCTATGCATATTTTGACAGAAAATGCATGCGTAAGATTATGTCTTCTTCAGTGATTTTCCAGCTTCTGTTTCTGTTGTGTGTTAGACAAAGCTGTCCAACAGTTTCACATTATTCTGTCATTACAGACTCTGCTTCTTCTGACTCGAGCCTGTGAGCAGAGGCAGGGGTATTGGAGAAAGCATGTGCACAGATGTTCAGCATGAATGCCTGACATGTTTTCTTTCTTCCATAATCTTTTGGAATACTTACAGTCAGATCTTAAACAAACAAACTCTAAGAAAACAATCATGTTTGGAAAAGGCAACCAAAGAGCAGAGGAGCCTATAAACTAAGCATAATTAGTGCTGCTTAAGAGACGAAGCATACAAGCTTTCTTCCTAGAAAGTGTGGGCTGCTTGGGTGCCATGATAATTAAAGCTGTGCCAGATGTTCCGCTATTTTTTATTGCTCATGTGAAATTTCTACATAAATATTATTAGATAAATGTAACTGACATACATTACAAAATATTTAACTGGACTGCAAAGTAAGGTGAGAGAACATTTTTTACAGCTCGAAATAATTAAGTCGTCGTTGCAGCTGGCTGCCAGACTACGTTATTAAACAAACCATCAACTCATCATACAACAAATGACAGTGAGAAAAAAATTGAATGAGTAATAATGGCACTAGATGTTTGTCTTGTTCTGTCAGTCCAATTACAAGGGCTTGATGGTTTAATTGGTCTTCAGACTGTTAGCTTCCTAACGTCTAGTCTGTCTGTGATAGATAGATTCTCGGTACTCCACATTTTTCAGGGATGCTGCCATACCAAGCCGAACAAACAAGAGGCAAGCCGGCTTTCTGATGTATATTATGTCTGATATGCTCTGCTGAAACTATTTCTGAGAATAGATTACATGTCTTTTACTAACTTGTTCAGTTGCTTTAATTCTTGCTCTGTCATGTTGCAGAGTTCAGGAGAGAAATGGCTTGGGTCTGTCTTTTAGCTTGTTTTTTAGGAGTGACTGGAAATTGAACCTGGGAATGGACAGTAAAACAGCAGTGTTAAAAAAAGATTAGGTTAGTTTGAAACAGGGGTGGGCAGAAAGGCAAGCAGGATTTACTGGGAAACCTGAGTTTAGTTGCTGTGGTCCCTGTGCTCCCACATATACCTGCACAGTGCCTTGTTTGGGTAGATTTCTCTAGCTTAGCCTAGAACCTTTTGCAAGGGGGCAGCCTCCCTTCCCTGCTGTATAAATGGTGGGTCCCCGCCATTTTGTCAGTTCACTTTCGACCACCATTTGCACAGTGCATTGGGCTCTCTAGTGTTCGACGTTGCTTTTTGTCACAACTTTCTATTTGTCTTACCCATATATACCTCACAATATTCCACCTTTTATTCTTTCATAAAACTCATACTCAATCTTTTATTATAATTCCTCACTCCTCTTCTTTTTTCCCTCCCCATCTACCCAACCATTAACTGTCACTCCCTGATTCTCTGATTCCCAATATTTAACAAAATAACTTCACAACAATGTGTGTGGAAAGACTGGGCACTCTCTTCAGTTCTGATACCTGAAAAACGGTCTTTAATTCTGATTGGATGTCTCCACTTGGTGGATCTTGGGGTTCTAGTAAAAACCAAAGTATCCTGTAAGCCTGGAGTTAGAATAGACCCATTCGAATAATTGAAAATCATGACCAACTTATCCTACTGATTTCAATGGGTCTTCTCTAGGTATAAGAATGTGGCCTCTCCTAAGTTATAATACTATTGGAGTTCATCAAGGAGCCCATCAAATTCCTATTAATGTAGTAATCTTTGAGTATAATTCTAATGCTTACCATTCATGATTTCTTGGAAATTATATTTGATGGCTGTGGGTAGCTAGGAGAACATTGCATCCAATTCTCCAGTGGCTTAATTAGCTTCCTGTAGTTTTATAGGCATAATTAAAAAAAGAATGCTTTTAATCTATTAGGCACTAAATTGTTTGGCCGTTGATATTTTCAAACCTCCCTTTCCTTTATGAGCCTTTGCGATCTCCAAAATTGCCCTTTTGATCAGGGATAAGCAAGTAGTAATTGATAGACCAGACCAACTCTAAATCAGTATATTTTAAACAGAAATTTTCGGTTTCACTGAAGCGGCACAATGGTAAAGAAAGGAAGCAGCCAATGTATGTGTACCTTTCTCTACCATTGTGCCTCTTCAGAGAATATTTCAGGAAGCACCTTGGTTTGTCAGCCTCCAAATCAAATCAATAACTTTATCTCAGCTGAGCAGTATGCTTTGTACCTGTCAAGCTTTACTGCTAGATGATGCAATTCTGTGAAAAGCCAGGCCCGAAATGAGTATCAAGAATAGTCTTCCCCAACCCAGTCCCCTGCAGATGCATTGGATTATAACCAACATCGTCCCCACGTGACATAACTAACAACCTGGAAGGCAACAGGCAGGGAGAATGTTCCATTAAGTTTTCCATCCTACTGTTGATTAGGCTTCCCATGAATGTATAAGATAATAAAGATAAAGGTTTCCCCTTGACGTGAAGTCCAGTCATGTCTGACTCTAAGGGGCAGTGCTCATCTCCGTTTCCTGGCCGAGGGAGCCAGCGTTTGTCCGCACACAGTCTCTGTGGTCACGTGGCTGGCATGACTAAACACCGAAGTGCACGGAACGCTGTTCCCTGCCCACCAAAGTGGTACCTTTTTATCTACTTGCATTTGCATGCTTTTGAACTGCAGGGTTGGCAGGAGCTGGGACAGAGCATGGGAGCTCACCCCACCTCTGGATTCGAACTGTCGACCTTTCGATCAACAAGCCCAGCAGCTCAGCAGTTTAAACCACTGCTCCACCTGCAGTCCCCAGTATGAGATAATAGTGACAGGATAATTCTAGGTACAAGGATAATATATGGGTTGGGATCCTAAGATGGTTAACAGGAGGAAGTTTCCCAACTCTCTTTCTCCTGCATCTCTTCCTCCAAACTCTCTCCAGTGCAGAATGGACCAACTTCCTCTAGCATGCCCTGTGTCCCCTCTCTCATTACTCAGAAGCTCCTACTCCACCTGTAAGGAATGTGCTCAGGGGAGCAGAGCTGTTGTAGCGAGGCATGGGAGCTCTTGTTAACTTACTAACTTACCTTTAAACTTAAAGATAAGTTAGCTTATCTTAGGATACCAGGCATGGTGTGTATCTTCTGCCATGCATCTGACTCTGAGGTAGGTATGCGTGAGAAAGATGGGGAGAAGGGAGAGAGAGAATCTGCCCTGAGCCTTAAGGCCTAATATTTTAAAATCCCAGTAAATAAAACAAGAAACATGTGTATCGATTTGAAATGGATTTTTTTTACTGACACATTTTCATTCTTCTTTAAAGGACATATCACCATAACACAGTATCTACTCAACTATTATCCTGGCCTTGATATTGAGAAAAGGAATGTCTTTGGATTTACTGCACTCATGAAGTCTGCCATGCAAGGTCGAACAGAATGTGTCAGAGCATTAATGCTGGCAGGTATATGGACTTCTCTGTTTCATTACCTTATTTCCACTGAAACATTGAAAAGATTGTATTTCATTGTATTTACTCTGTTGGTAGGACCTGGTTGCTATTATGACAGATGGATACACAGAAATCATTGTTGCTTGCTGCTGTTTTCTAAGACCAAATTGTGTAGATGGATCTACAATGATCACAACAATTTTTAAACTACAAAAGATTGCACAGTAAAAAGCAGTTTGCTTTTTGCAGTGGGGAGACTGAAACGTTCAAAGCACCCTGATTTCTTTAAAAATTGGTTGTCACATGTTGTTAGGTTGTCTCCAACTTCTGGTCCTTGACAGCCGTGCTCAACTCTTGTAAACTCAGGGCTGTGGTTTCCTCTATGAAATTGACCCCTCTCATACTTGGCCTTCCTCCTCCTCCTGTTCTTCCTCTTCCTCTTCCTCCTCCTTTGACTTTCCCTGGCATTACTGTCTGCCCCAGTGAGTCTTGCCTTTTCGTGATGTGCATGAAGTACAGAAGCTTCAGTTTCATATCATTCTTGCTTCCAAGGACAGTTCTGCCTTGATTTGATCTAGAACCCACTTGCTCACCTTTCTGTTGGTGCAGAGTATTTGCAAAGCTTTCCACCAACACCATGTTTTTACTGCAATAATTTCCTTCCTGTCAGCTTTCTTCTCCCTCCAACTTTCACCCGCACACACAGAGATCAGAAATACAATAGTGTAAAAGATCTTGGTCTTTGCTGAAATGTTCTTACAGTAGATGATCTTTCTGAGTTCCTACATTGCTGCCTTTAATCAGTAATTCACTGGAGATGTAAGAGGAGGGAGGGGCTGGTCAGATCTTTATGGGAAAGATATTCCAAAATTATGGTCCTGCCACTGAAACGGCTCTGCCCCGAGTGCCCACATGCATCAGAAGAGAAGAAGAGCTCCCTGAGCCACACCAAGGCCCTGTCTAGTCTGGCATTTCCAAACCAGATGCCAGTCCCAAGCCTCCAAGTAGGACATGGACTTGTGCAGGACAGGCTCATGTGGGAACAGATGAGCAAACAGTGGAGCAAAACTCAGGAAGCCAAGATTTAGGGTGGATGCCAGGAAGTACTTCCTGATGGTTGGGACCCCGAAGGTACGGAATGGGCTTCCACGGGGGTGGGGGGAGTTGAGGCCCCATCGGTGCGGGTGCTCAAGGAGAGGCTGGACATGCACATGGCGGGCATGTCATGAGTGGGGCCAGCTGGAGCCGGGGGTCAGGCTAGATGGCCCGGGAGGCCCCTTCTGCCTCGCTCTTGTTTCTGTGTTTCTAAGCCCTTTCACAAGCTCATCACAAGCTATTTAGGGCAGCGTTGCCAACGGACCCACAAAACCTACTAGCGTGGGAAAAGGGCTGGTTGAAGGAATGATCGAGAAATCCATCCCTTTTGCAGCTGCATTTAAGTACATAACAAGAGCTTCACTAGGTCAGATCAGGGGCCTCTTTAATGCATCATCCATTACCACAGTGGTCAACCCGACTCCATCTCCCTCCCCAGCCCCTGTATTAATGGCAGCAGCATAGGCAAAGTAGCCGTCCCGTGTTGCTTTTCTGAAGGCTCCTTCCTCAGAGTGAAGCACTGTGGGCAAGGTGCCACAGAGCTTATTTGCCTGCCATGCCCAAATAAGGTCCTGCATCTCAGTCCCCTTTAAGACCATGGCAACTGGTGGATGTCACAGAGAGGAGTCCATAGCTTATCTTCAGATCTCTCGTATGTGCAGGACCATGAACAGAGCATTTGGCAGACACTTACTTGCGAGACAGTCTCAGGTGTAGCAAATTCCATCATTTCTCTGTGCAAATAATGCTATTTTTATGCTGGGCAAAGAAGAGGTGGCTCTCCTTTTCCAGCAGCCCACTTGGCACAGATAAGAAGCAGTGCAGGAAGAAAATAGATGCATTTGAACGTGCTGCTGGAGGAGAGCTTTGCAAATGCCCCGGACCGACAGAAAGACAAACAAGTGGATCCTAGAGCAATTCAAACTACAGCTTGCCCTAGAGGCTTGAATGGCAAAACTGAGGCTGTCACACCTGGGGCGCATCATGAGAAGGCCAAACTCCCTGGAGAAGACAATCACACTAGGGAAAGTTGAAGACAAAGGAAGAAAATGAAGACCAAACTTGAGATGGATTGACTCCAGAAAGGAAGCCGCATCTTGAATTTAGAAGAGCTGAGCAGAACTGTCTTCCCTAGGCACTGGCTCACCTTCAAATGATTTTGAAACTATTTACAAACATAGTGCAAATGTTTTTAATAAATAAATAGTTCCTTGACACCCATGGTCACTGAGTGAGTGCTTAAATACAAGGCTAAGGGCTTTGAAAGCAAAAGCCAAACACTTAAGGAACAGAAACAAACAGGCAACCAATGTTGCCTGTTTGTTGCAAGACCATAGGAATATAATCTGATTTTTGAGCCCCAGATAACAGTCTTACTAGTCAGATTTTAGGCAAATTGAAGTTTTTTAAAAACTATCCTTACGTAGAGACCTTATAGTAGTGGAGCCTGACGGTGAGAAGAGCATGGAAAATGGAGGTGTTCTTGGGATAGGTCTGTCTTTTCCAGAAAGACCTCAACGGGTGACCTAGCTAAAGTTGGCAAAAGGCACTCTTTAGCCTTGTTGTCAATATCACTGCTATCTGAATATCCAGGGAAAGGATTGGGTTGAGGAGTGGCGCACCATGGAGGAGCCGTGTCCAAGGGATGAAGCAAAGTATGCCTGTGCTTGGTCCAAAGCTATTTCACTGGGAGTTTGCCTTTATAAAGACAATTTTACATAAATTAGTTCTTGGCAGGGCAAAGCTTGTGGGGTAAGGGGCCTAAAGGGCTTGAGCTTGTAAAAGCCCTTACAGTGAAGAGAAATTGCTCTTTGTTCACAGGGTACTTGCAAAGTTTTGCAGGGCAGAGCATTTGTGGTGTATTCCAGGTCACCAAGGATCTTGGGTTAATGGCAAAGTGATGTGGAGATGGGTCATTATTGCTGTTCATTCTGCGGAAGCTGGCCTTGCATTATATTTAGAAATAATTCATGGATTAAAGGATGCTCAGGCATTGCTAGAAATAATGGTGTTTCTAGTATAGTAAAGAGGATGAAATGGGGATTTATTGCCAAAAGGTTCAGAAGAAACAGAACTAAGCTTTAGCAGTCCTATTTTGAGAGATGTGAGAATAACTCTTAACACCATGCAAGTCTTAGTGATTGCTTGTAGTTTTGCCAGCTATTACATTATGTTGTTTTACTGAAATATGCGGAAGCTTCTAGTCACAAAATATGGTTAACACATGGTAAAAATGTAAATGTAAAGGATCAAAGACTCTAACCTGCACAAGTATTCCCAGAAGCAAACTTTTCAGAAATGTATTCAAGTTTATAAACATTTGCCATAATGAGCATAGTTCAGAGGGGAAAGCTGTAATGCCCCGACTCCAAATAAACCTGCTGCAGCTTAATTTTATTTCTATACTGTCCAACCACTGAAACTCTCCAGGCAGTTTACAGCAGCGCATAAAATATACTAGTATGCAATATAAGAATACAAATAACAGTAAAACATCATAAAATTATACAACAAAATGTAAAAGCAAGATTTAAAACCAGCTGAGACAAGTACAGTAACAGTTAAGACATAAGAGCCGAGAGACAGCTGACATAACACCCCAATATTTGAGCTGATTAAATGCCCTTTAATATGTTTTGGCAACGAAGGAAATAAAAGATACAATAAAAAGATCAAATCCATCTTGATTCTTCTTTGGTCTATTATACTTTGGGTCTTATTAATGACCCACTTTCCAAGAAAGCTTCTCTTACCCAGAGGTATTTGTGTAATTTCAGTGGCTCTCAAGGACTGCAGAGAGCAGTACCACAGGATTACAACACCATCCCGGTCTCTTTTCCTTACCTTACAAGTGCGGTTTATCACGTGTTGTCTTTTGGTGGCACAGCTCCAACATGGCTGGGGTGCGAGGGGACGGTTGGAGCAACAGTGCATCAAGACAGCACTCACACCGCTGCTAGAAGTGGGGTTGCATTCGAATACAAAAGGGTAAGCAGTAAGAGCTGTATGCTGCACCCTGCTGCACTGCAGAAAAGGCACTGCTGGAAATTAGAAAGTTGCATGTTCCAGATTTCAGAACATGTTCTAACAAAATGGGTGGGGTGGGGTGGGGGTTTCAAGCAATGGTTGGATGTTCCATGTCACTTGAAACTCTTTGCGTGCTTTTTCTGGAATCCTAGGTCAGACGTTTCATGCAGATGACACTCATATCTTACAGGATATGCAGCTGTATTAATTTAATGGAATATTAATATTCCAAACTGATAGGGCTGCTCAGATTAGTTACTCTGGAAAAAGTATATACTTATAATGTCAGATTGGTGTTAGAAAAATCAGATCTAAATGGGAATAGGCAGTTTCATAGATGGCTTACAAACCCAATATAGTTCTGAATGACAAACAGAATGTCATTATACTTGGAAGAGTGACTTGAATATTTATGTCTGACCCAGATGGCAAAGTATCTAGCCTCATCTATGTTCATGTGGGACTGGTTTTAAAGAAATCATAAACAGTACTTCAGTAGTGTTGAAACCAAATGTTTTATCCAAAACCAATTCCCTGGGGGAAAACATACAGTAAAATTTTGACACACTACTGAAAGATACTGCATCCTATAATTGGTTTCTGTGTCTGCGCGGAGCATCCTCAGAAATCTTTATAAATTTATTTATGGAAATTGTAGCTCCTCCTTTCTGCATCTCTACACATACCTCAAGGGGTGTATGAACAGCTTCCATGCACCTTCCTTCTGCACAAGCAGCCAAGAACATGGGTCAAGATATTTAACGCAGTGTGTCATGACAGAATTAAATTCATTCATAAAGGGAAACAGAAGAGACCAAAATATAGATAATATCTTTCTGAGGTTTAGAGATGACAAGAACACATTTTGCTTAGAAGTCTGCCCTGAGCAGATAGGACTTGAAGCAGGTAATAAATGTTGCATTTCAACTGACTAGTAGCACCAAATTTTCCTTTGTAGCACCACATTTTCTGGGCAATTGATGGATGGAGGGCCATAGACCCTGCCAAGCTTTTGGGCTTGTCCTCGGCCCTTTCACAATCTGGTACCGAAATCAGAGCAAAAATGAGGGAAAAGGCTAGGGAAGCAAAAGATAATTATTTCTAGTAAGACCTTTCCTTTAATATTTGGATTTTAAGAGCAGGGGCTAACCCAAAAATAGGGAGGAAAGAGTAGATACTGAGTTTTGGCTTTCCCTCCATGTTAGGCACAAGCACCTGTGCAGGACATGAAAAGAGAATTTTGAGTTTCTTCTAAGACGTAGCAGTGCTTTACAGTGATGTTCACAAGTCTTCCTGCATCGTTTCCTGTTCTGCTTGGGACCCACTGGTGATTTCAGTAGCTGTAGAGCAATATGATGACTTTGGGAAACTGGCAAACTCAAGTTATTCCTGCCCTAGCTGACTCTTGTCAACCTTCTTTGCATGAAAAGAGTGCTAGAAATAGCAGCTCCCTGAAAAGAGTTCTACAAGCTTCTAGGGATATTGTAAACAGCTGCAAAATTCATGTGTGTAACTTCATAGACGGCTACTCACAGAAAACAGTAAATAGCCTACCTTGTTGGTACCCTTGCTTTTGAGCTACAATTTGAAGAACACCTAGGAATGGACCTCTTTTGAACAGGGGAAATTTAAGTCCTAGAGTAGGAAAACCAGTCGGCTTCTTTAAGCTGGCCTAAGATAAAACATAGAACGAAATGAGAATGAAGTAATGCAGAATATCCCATTTTTGCCAAGTTTAAATATACAACACATTTACACTACTTGAATTTAGCAGAAGTTGAAGCAGTATGCCTTTCTGTAACACTTTGCCAGAATGCACAGGGGATAATGCTGACAAGGAGAAAATGATCCATTGTATCAACCTATTCCCCTCTTCCTATTCATGCTTTTCTGGAATGGAGTAGTTCCGGATGTACCTTTCACTCTTCTTGTCATGTAGCCTCATATTAACCGCTTAACCAAGAGATTAGCCTAAATCCACAGACTTGGGTTTCTGGCTGTACCATCTGCTGTAATGTTCTTGTCAGCAGGCATCTCTTCCAATGGTCCTTCGGTTAGCTTTGCTTAGTTTTCCTGGGTCAGTTTTTGTCGGCTGTTGAATTGGCTTTATCCTTTATTATAAGCTGCCTTGAGTTCTAGAAAAGTGGCTAATAAAGATTTGTTAGGAAAATGACTTTGAAGCCAAGGAACCCTATTGTTCGCCATTGTGTTCCCTTTTTGGAGCTAACCATGGAGGGCAGGGGGTGGGGAGTGAACATTAAGACCTGCAACTTAAGCTTCTGAACCAGGCAGGACTCACTTAAATACCGTGCTGTTTCTGAATGCAGTTTATCTTCATGTTTACCCTATGTCCTTGTTGCAATTTCCTGTAGTCTCAAACATTCTGCTTTTAACATGAAGTGGGATAGATAAAATGTAATTTGTATGGTCATTTGTCCTAACAAAAGTAAGATGCATGGAAGCCAAAAAGTAATGTGAGAAGAGTGCATGGAGTAAAATCGTATTTTTTTCTGGGGACCAAGTTATCCCTGAGGGCCACTGCCATTCTCTTCTGTACTGCCACTTTCCATGGACAGTCAAGGTAGTTGAAAAACAAAGGAAAAAGCCCAAATACCTTGCACAACACTGTTAAAAATGCCTTGCGTAATACTTACACATCATTAAGTCTGGAAGTTGTTCTACAGCTTTTTAAAATTCAGACTTGGTGAGGCAATGAAATGCAAGTTCAGCCAGCAAATATTTGTGTAATAATTGCCGCACACTGTAGATAGAGTCTCGTTTATGATGGTGCTGTTGGTTGGAGGGTTAATAGCATTAACTTAATGCTGTGCACTGCACTGCCCATCTGCTGACTCTCAGTACAAATCTCTGTGGATCACTAAACCGCTATCTAAATATTTAAAGTTGCTGAAAACCTGTGTTACATGTGTGATAAAGTGTCGTCTTATTATCAAAATACTTACTAGCTACGACAGTTTAAAAAGCTGTCGGGAAACTCAAGTTGTAGGGTTTGACCGTGATTTCTAAGATTCAGAATGTGCTTGACTTTACATCTACCACGTGATCCCTGTGTGCTTTTTTCAAAAGCAGCTTTCTCTTTCTCTTCTTTGAGGGGCAAACATTAATGCCACAGATCCTGGCCGCGGATTCACTCCTCAGGAATGGGCGTGTTACACAGGAAGAGCAGAAGCTGCCTATCTCATGCAGAGACTCATGGACAAGCCGCATGCTGAGCAGTTTTGTGACCAGTATGAGTTAGAATGGCCCAAGATGAAAGGACTCCTTGCCAAGGCTGCAGAGCCAAAAACCTGTCTGCAGAGGATCTCAGAAGGTGTGCGGTCAGCAGTATCTTTCAGAGCTTTCCAGGGGCCTGAAGAAGATGGCGTCCTTGATCATATGGTTAAGGCGACAACGAGTCTGAGGAGCTCTTTTGTTGCCATTGCCTGTAGGACTGTGTGTCCTGGAAGTCCCCCGGGTGTAGGAAAACGCAGGCCTGCTGTGCAGGAAATCCTTAGGAGACAAAGAGCCAGGGAACTTAGATCTTTAGAGAACAGAGACCATTTTGACAGCTATGAGAAGCTATTTCAGAACTCTAGAATTACTTTAGTCTCCAAAAAGAAGGAGCGCCGAGCCAGCCTGCAGCCATTCAGTCTCAGTGTACCTCAGGTGAGCATCGTGGTTCCAAGGAAATCCAGCCTGTTGCCACTGCATTTGCTAAGACGGAGCAGCGTGCGCCCTGGCTTTGTTATTCCCAAAGTCCGTGTCAACAAGGCCCCGCCGCCGACTTTCCAGCCGGAGAATGTGAGGCGCAAAAGTAATGCCAGTGATGGGACCTACTTGCAGATCCCTAAATGGAGATATAAAGAGCTAAAGGAAGAAAGGAAGAAGGCAGAGGAAGAAGAAAAGAGCAGAAAAGGCTCAGAAAGAGAAACAAGGGTCTCCACAGAGAAGCAAAACCTGAACAAAGATTTGGAATCAAGGCAGTGCCATGGTTATAAGATGCAGGCCAGCACGTTGTAATGGAGGGGAGGCAGGGGGAGAGAGAAGCCCAAATTTAAATGTTCTCTTGCAGATCTGCTGACAGGAAAGGGCGTATTCAGAAAGATTTAGGGAATCTGTGAACAGTTTTAAGAAAGACTGCTTCTTACAGAAAATAGGATCAGGGGTTAATGGTTTAAACTTCCTATGTTAAAAGAGTAAAAGTATAATCAGGCAACGTGATACGCTTGCAAGAAAATTGGTATGGATGTCATAATTGAAAGTCTTTTTAAACAGCATAACCCAGATTATACAAACACTGGCCTCAGGATATATGAAAAGATATCTACAGTTTTTACCTAAATGGATTGTGGTTTATTTCCCTGGTGAGTTAAAATAAAGGGCTTCAGTTTGCTGCCTGCCTTTATGAAAATATAAAGAATATAATGTGTTTCCACTAAGCATGTTAAATGATGCAAAAATCTCAGGGCATTTTATAGGGTAAAGCGAATGTGTGAAATAACCATTTTTGTAAGTAATGTTTTAATTCTGAGAAATATTGTTAAAGGGATTAAGTGATCTGATGCATTTCCTACTGTCTAATGGATGTTTCTGCCATTTTAAAAACAAAATGCTAAAACCCACAGCAAAGTGCAACATTTCTATGGTTCCTTCCATATGCTCTATGTATGGTTGTATACCTTTATAATCTATTTGTGTCCCCAGTAAACTCAGGATATTTTTAACTGGACCCAGAAATTCTGTTGGTGGCTGTACCTGCCTGCTAAAAAAGAAGGAAATGAAGAAGTTTCTTTGGTGACATTTTGTTTGCTTGTTTTATACATTTATATACGGTTTTGGTAAATCCTGAACTGGTTAAAATACAGCTAAAAATAACAGTAAAATCAACACTGTCTCTTCTTTATATTGCTACCCATGTTTTCTTGCATGTCAACAGCTCTGTGCAAAAGTATATGATTTCCTGTGAGGTCTGATAAAAGATATCATCCCTCAAGAAGTCCAGTAAGAAATAAAGAAAATCCCAAGTGTCTTGCACAGCTCACATTTAACAATATAACCACTTTCACCAGTGAAAGATTAAGAGAGTATGTAACTACCAGGAGGGAAATTCTATAGCACAAGCCACCAAATTTCCAGACCAGTTCTGTGCAAAACTACTTACTCATTAGGCAGCCCTTGCTTCTGCACGAGAGCCTAGAAGAGGATTGAAGAACTTGTGGCCTTCCAGATGTTTCGGCCAGGGCTGGTGACAGTTATAGGTCAAAACATCTGGAGGACCACCAGTCCCTTCCCTCTGGCACAGGGTAGCAGCCGCAGCTGAGAGAGGCATGATTCACGTACGCAGCCGAGCGTTGCTTTGACTGCTTTCTGCCTTCTGTACTCATTAAAATGCTCGGCCATATTCAGTTCCATTAATTCACACTAAAAACAACAACACTGCAGATTACCAAGATGGAGCCAACACTGTCAAGCGGCACTGCTTCTTGTGTTTGCGGGACAAGCTTTAGATGCCCGTGGCAAAACTGCCTACTTGCATCTCTTTGATAAGTTATGACAGAGCTGGAGCATTTTGTTCACAGCCAACCCAGTATATTTACGTATCAAATCGGGGAGCCAGTTTCTCAAAACCAATCAGTTCTGACAAGGAAGTACATGAGTTTGCACTCGGATTTTTCATCTAAAAGACAGGTTCAGTTGAAATGCACTTTTGCACTCTCTCAGGGTGGGCACTGAATAGCAATGTGCAAAAGGTGTGACCTATTTGTATGTGCAATTGTATGTCATAGTTTCAATCAAAGGACAATAAATTCTGTTTAAATTACAGGATGTTTTCAGTTTGATTAGGAACCTTAATGTTCCACTGTGGCTTCTTGGCTTCAGCTGTTTCCTATCTCTTTATTCCCGCTTATGTAGTCATTTACATCTTGAGTATAATGTCATAATTTACAGGATTTACAAGACCCAGCTAAAGGAAGCCGGTGTAGGAATGGAAAACCTCACAGCAGTACCCTGGCCTGATTGAAAAGCGGACATATTTGGAATGTATAAATGGAATGGCTGTGAATTTTTACCTCCCAAGCCAGAAATGCCAAATTGAAACACGCTATTTAGGAAATACTACATATAACGTATGAGAGTTAATGAGAGGGTGCATTTTAAAGTGTCACATTATTTTGTGATGAAGCATTCCATATTCAGGTAGCTGTAACTGCTGTGTGTGTGCATGGCCACATTTCTGAATATAAAACATCATAGTATCCGGGAAAAATGAAAATTCACATTTGTGACTTCGGATAGTATGTACACTTGTTAATGATCTGAAGATACATCTTGATTTTAAAATGACATATGTTCTAGTGATATTACATACCAGCATAGAAACGAGCATAGCAATGATATAAAAATGTCTCCAGTGAATACCTAGATTCTAGTATGAATACAAAACATGCTACATTGCTAATCTAAAAATGCATCAGATCTCTCTGCTAAAAATGTCTCAAAAGCACCCAGTTACCTACTATCTGAAGTGTGCTACTTTTCTGGACATCAAATAGACTCGGAGCTCAGCTAACATTCATGGAAACCTCACCAGTGAAGAAAATCTTTCACTTGCTTCTTTATTCCTCCCAAAATACTGCACTTCCACAATGTTCTGTTGATACTTGAAGTCAGTGTTTGGACTACTGTTACGAAAAACAAAATATAGCAACACTAGCAACGCTGGAAACACGAAGTCAATATTTGGACTACTGTTACGAAAAACAAAGCAAACACAAAGGTACTATTTCACACAGTCATATATTTGGCTAGTACTGAAGGAATTTGAGCTTTTGCTTTGTTATAAAGCTTTGTAAAATGCTGTAGTGCTCTTTACACACAATATCATGTTCTCATTTTGGACTATTTGAACTCCATTTATTTAGCATATGGCTTATTATAAATGGGCTTATGATTTATATTAGCATTTAAATTAAGTTCAAAACACATTTAAAATATAAAAGCTAGAAAGGTCGCTATTCAAACATTAATGTCTAGGCCATCTAATCATTGAAGTGTAGCACTGTTTATATGGAAATAGACACTTGACCAGTATATGCCCTCAGTTTACGGTCAGTCATGATACGATGTACAGTTTGATGTGGAAATCCAAGGTCACACATACGCAGACAGATTCCATTCCTGGAATTATTCAACTGTTTTGCACCCTTGCTAGAGTTGGGCTGCACTTTTTTACCTGAACTTGCCTAAAATGAAAGTCAATAAAAATAATTCCATTCGTGTTTGCTTCCATTATACACCTTGCCTATAAGAACTGTTGTAGAGATGTCTCTTTTATTGCCTGGAGGGTTTAAAAGGAAAAAAAAAATGATAATCTTTTCTCAAGTCAACAGGGAGCGCATCCGTGTTGCCTAATATTACATTCTGCCAAAATTTGTCGGATGTCCATAACGGTTTTGTTCGGGGATCCCCAGTGTGTTTTGCATGGAGGTCGAATGTTTCATTTTTTGATGTAGTGTGTGTTATTTGGTGCACTTGCTTTGGAGTAGGGCTTTATGTGTGCACAAGCATGTGACTGAGAGTTTCTGAGCGTCACTGGATTGCCTTCTGTGAAATTGGTATTTTGTTGTGCTTTGTGCAGGCAGAAAAGTCTCCCACAATGTACATAGGATTCGGCAATTAGAACTCAAGACTGCATCTTTCTTTTTCACTGTTTCTTGTCTCTAAAACAAACTGTTTTATCTAATTGGAAATCGGTTGTTGGAGTAGAGTACAAAGGCATAGTCTTGTGTGCTTTCAGATTCACTGGTGTGCCATTGGAAATAATGGCATTATTTATTTATTTATTTTATTAAAAGCTTTTGTATGCCATTCTATTATACAAGATCTCAGGATGGCTTACAAAGGTCTCAGACAGCTTGCAATTTTTGTGACATGGCTTGCCCTCCATGGATAAATCTGCCTCGCTATGCCATTGAGAAAACCTACATGAGAACATTTCAAAAGTGCCCAATGGCTCAGAAAAGTTGGGGGCCCTGAATTGGTCCAAATTTATATTTAGTTGGCAGTTTTAAAACTGCATCTGACTAGTTTGGGTGATAAACCAAAGACTGTACCAGTCACAGCTTAAAAATAGACCCAAAAGTGAATTACACAGCTCTCAAGGAGCAACCTCAAGCATGCCCAGGGCTGTATGTATTCTGCACTCATAAATTGTGCACCTAAGCAATTTGGAAAGAAAAATCTAAATGCTGTAGCTTGTATAAATTATTCAAACAGAAGAGATTTTCATGTTTTCTTATTTGCCTTATGTGCATACATACATGAAATTTCTTTTGTAATTTAGCCTAATCTGGTTTTATCATCTATGATGAGAGAAAAAGACTTACACAAGACATCAGGACTGAAGCCCTGGCCCCAAGCAGAGGAATTGTATCCACCTTGCTCTTGCTGAAGCATCTCTTGTTTTAGAGATTACAGCTGGACAACTTTCTCTGCATAATTCCAAACACATCTCCCTAACACCAAGGGCTAGAAGCTTGCTTTGAAACGAGAATTGAAAATAGCTATTTTCTTGATTCTTTTAAAAAGCAAACAACATGAAACCGCTTGATCCCACTAGTATTTAAGTAATTCCAAAGCAATGCAATTTTGCAAAAAGCAAACGAAGAAAACAATTTCCCAAATGGACAAGGAAGAGCATGAGAACTCGAATCACCCAGCAAAACATGATACCTTGTTTTCTGTCCACACGTGTTTTTCATGTATGCCACAAGGATCTGAGAGCAGCAGCCACCTGCTTTCTCTTGCCGGAGAAGTATGGACTATGGATCTGCTGCAGTGCTGCCCCAAAACGGCAAGAGCACAGAGGAGGGCAGGTGCCCCCTCTTCCCTCTTTGGAGGTGTCCTCTAGAGGAGGATGCAGGAATGCCCAAGGGAATCTGCCCCATTTGTGCAGAAGAGACTTTCCAACAGCTGGGGGGAAGCTGAAGTCTCAGTTCAAGAGAAGGGCCTTTCCCTCTGTGTTCCCTAGGATATCACCAGCAGGGATGAGTGGGAAGGAGCAGGGCGCCCACAACAGGCCCGATCATCTGGTAGGTTCATCATGGCTCCACATGGCACTTGTGGTGACGCAGAGCTGCGGTTGCATGCCCATTCTGACAGCCCGAAAGAGGAACTTCCTCATCTTCCAACTACCATCCTTTTTTGGTGTCTTGATGCTGAATGGGTAAGCAAGCATTCCA